TGGTAACTCTAAATTGTCACTAGGTGTGCGTGAGAGAGTGAATGGTTGTTTGTCTCGTTTGTCTCTATGTGTCCCTGTGATGGACTTGCGACCTGTCCAGGGTGTACCCCGCCCCTCGCACAGTGATTGCTGGACATGGGCACCAGCGACCCCCGTGACCCAAAATGGAATAAGCGGGTAAAGATAATGGATGGACGGACGGATGGATGGATGGATGGATGGAGAACAGAGTAAAACATATTACATTTAAAATATCATCTTGGGGGACCAGCTAAAATGTTAACAAGGGCCAGATTTGGCCCATAAGCCTTGTGTTCGACACGTTTCAGATGCACTAAAAATAAAATGTAGCAGCGTACTACACAAGTAAAAACCCTTTGGTATACAGTATTTACTTTTGAATATATTTTTGATTACACAAGTAGTCACATATTTAACTATCAACTACATGCAAAAAAGTCAATTAATAAAAATGTTTGAAATGATACTTAACGCTTGTCAATAAATCAAGCAAAGTTTTAAAACAGGAAGGTTTGATGTGCATTCTGTGCAAACATTATTTTCAGAGTCATGTTGTACCTGTACTCCTGTTTCTCCAGATCAAAACGTTTCTTCTGTTCAGCTGAGAGTCGCTCAGTCTCTCTCTGCAGCTCGTCTCTTTCTGTCCTCAGCCGTTCCAATTCATCACTAAAAACAGAAACAGAGCAAATCCCGTTAAAAAACAAAACTCAGTGTTCTACAACCATTGATTTAAAAAAAAAAGTATTAATCACCAAGTCTTTAGTTTAACAGTTGAATATTAAGGTTTTATTAGGCACAGGCAAGCTTAGATAAATAATGTTGTAAATACTTGTTTTTAGATCCACCTTTTTATAAAGGACGTGGCCTTTTCACTGAACTTTTTATTTATTTATTTCAATTTTCACCACAAGTTTTTCATGAGACCCAGAACATTTGTTGGTCATATTTCAAGTTCAAGTAGATTTTATTATCATTTGCATCACATGTGGTACATGAGGTGGAATGAAACTGCACACACAGAGTCCCATTTATAGTGTTTCTAGAAGAAAAGTTTCAAACGGTTTCTGCTCTGTGGCAAGTAATAATTAAGTTATAAATAGTGACTTGAACGTCACTGGGTCGACTTAGACTTGAATAAACGAGACAAGTAAAAGATTTAAAGTTCATTTTAGTGTTGAAGGAATGACGGCCCAGATCTTTTACCGGACATGAAAACCCATAATGACGACTTGTTTTCTGTAAGCAGTCATCACTAGTGTTCATTAAACCAGCAACACACAAACTTCTCACATCGTCTCCTAATGATTTACATTTGGCCTATAAAGAGAATATAGAGATGGAGGCACGTCCTGATTGTACAGACAGCTTTCAAGCGGGGGGGGGGGGGGGGGGGGTGTCAGCATGAGCGCTGCCTTTAGCTTTTTAGATAGTGTGCCTGTATTGCGTGCCACTATATATATAGCACTACGTCAGAGGGGTGCACGCAGTTCGGTTCTGTAGGCGGGACGCTCAGTTCTGTTGTATAATGGTAGAGGAACCACTGTTCTCTAGGTTTGTGTAATTAGCAGGCCTGTGACGATAACAAATTGTGCTGGGCGATTAATTGTCTCGGAAATTATTGCGATAAACGATAATATTGTTTGAAATTTGGCAATAATTAGTCATTATTGTCAAATTTAAGAAGAAAAGTTTGTTAATTTGTTTTGCATGTAGCACCTTTTTTCGACCACCGGATAGCAGTATAAGACTGTTTGAACTGAAGGATGGATAGTGATGGAGCGAGCAGCGTGTCTCTTTAAGAAAAATGGGAGGGAGGCCACTTGACATGACATGGGCCGTCTCTCTTCAGTTCTCAAAATGGCAGATGCTCGGTGTGGTTTGAGCTCTTTAGCGTAGCATTTTTCACACAAAGCTTTTAATAAAAAAATAATCAGTAAACAATTTCTCAGCTTCTTTTTGCAGAGAAAAACAACTTTGTACACGAAGGTACGAGTTTCAACCGTGAAATTTGGAGCTTTGACAAGACGGAGGTTTTTTCCCCCGAGGTTGGCCTGTTAGCTTAGCTTGTAGCTTAGCTGCTTTTAACGATCCAAAATCACGCTTTTGGATCATTAAAATTGATTTTAAAAAGAAAAGAGAAAGAGAGGGCTCAGTGAAGAGCGCCGGAGTTGAACTTTTTCTCATCCAGTGTCTTCAGTAGAAAGAGAGAGACACGAAGAAACGATAAAGCCGATAAATGAAAACGAGGTTGATAATTTTCATTTGTCGTGCAATTCATTGATTTATTGTTTATCGCGACAAGCCTAATTAATTTACTCATGACAAAGAGATTTATGGAATATGAGCAGAAAGTGTGTTTTGAACTAAGAAGTCACTCACTCTTTACTTGACAGCATCTCTTGTAGCTCCGCCCTTTCTTTCTCCGATTGGCTGAGATGCTCCCTCAGACTAGTGATCTCCTCAGCTTCCTCTGTGACTCCCATGGAGACAACAGTCTCTGTTGCCACGGAAACCCCCAGAGCCCCAGCAAGCGTGGCCTGGACCTCTTTCTCCAGTCTGCCGCTGCTGCTTTTCACAGCCTGAGTGTGTCTTCTGCTGTCCTGCAGCCTCTGACAGGACGAGAGGATGGAGGTCTGTGATGGAGAACTCAGCGCAGACGAGTGCACGTGCTCACATGAACAGTTGCAGTTTACTCGTACCTTCTCTACCTCCAGCAGCCGTCTCAACAGTCTCTGTTTACTCCACTCTCTGTAACCTAAGAGACGTAATCACAGACACATTTTATTATTCCTACAATACAGAATTTAATATATACAGAAGTGTTTCTTTAAGATAGTTTAAATTTATACACTTTTGCTATAAGAACGTAAATGTTTTAGTAATTTATACATTATTTAACTGTTAGCTTGAGGCAGAACACACATAAAAACTGATATTGTTGAGATAAATTGAGCAAAGGTTTGCCACACTTAGATGCAAACTGTTTATGATGAATAAATTGTCTTTTTTGGCGCTGTGGGTAAAACATGTTAACAAAAACCTTTAATTCCTCCAGCAGGACTGTCGGTGCTGAGCTCCTCTCTCAGCGCTGCGTTCTCCTGCTGAAGCTGCTTCAGGTCTCCCGCCAGGTGATGGACTGTGGAGTTCAAAGCTTTCTGCTGCCTCTGGGAGCATTTACTCTCTGCTCGACTACTGCAGGTACGAAACAGAACCTTAAACCTTCAAGATACCTTCAAGATACCAGCTAGCATTAAGACCTTGTCCTTAAGAGTCAGTGGGTCGTTAAGTTTCATTTATGAAGACCTTTTTTCTGCAGCATCTAGAAGCGTCCTCAGTCTCTGGATCTTAGAGATGAGAGAAAATATGTTAAGTTTCCTTTTCACAGCTGCAACCAAAGTAGCTTTAATAACAGAAACAGGTAAAACCCAACATGGCTGAGGAATATTACTGTATTTTCCGCCGTACACGTCGCATCAGTCCAAATATGTCTAATAAAGTGGAAAAATCCATAAATATGTCACTTCGCCGTATAAGTCGCATCTATTATGCGTCAACAATGACAACCTGGAAATATGAGCTGGTGTTGTGCCAAAAATCGATGGGCTGCCAAATGATGGCCATGGGAGCGTGCATGGGAGGACTTTAAGAAGTATTTAACAAGATTAACACTTAAAACATTTATTTGTTTGCTCAAAATTATAGTAAAGGTGTGTCTTGGTCTAACTTTTCCTTAATAAATACTCTTTGACGGTCAAATCAGCTGCTTTTTCAAAAGCCGATACACGGAAACATTAACGCACAGAGGGCGACTCACTGTCCGTTTCTTCGAAATTTAACAAGATACCCACCTAAAAACAATTGTTTGTTAGCTCGACTTTATAGTAAAGGTGTGTCTCAGTTGAACTTTTACTTAATAAATGTACTTTGATGGTCAAATTAGTTGCATTTCGCCAGGGCGGCGCAGCGAAATGAAGCCGATTCGGTTGCGCCAGGCAGACGACAATGTCAGTCTATGGCAAGCTGATTGTGTCATTAATAGCCACGTTTACCTATTACATGATACAACGACATGCTATACTACTCTGATGCCATCTAGTGGCTGAAAATGGTAGTGTTCAATATTTCCAGTCAGAATGAATGAAAACGGTCATATCTCAGCCAAAACACGGTTTATAAATATGGGGAAAAATCAATAAATACGTCACTTCAGCGTATAAGTCGCAGGGCATGCAAATTATGCACACAACTGCGAAAAATACGGTACCTCCTCAAAGTAAGTTTCCACAGTGATATTCAGCTCCTTCAGGTTCGTAGTTCTCAGATCACTTTGTAGTGCGCTGAAAAAAAATAAAGTTGTCTCAACAAAGTCCTTCCTAACAAAATACAAATGTATTTCCAGAACAGTGAGGGAGTTTACCTCAAAGTGTTTTCTTTCTCTCTACACTGTTGCTCCAGCTTCAGGATTCTCTGCTTCAGCCCACTGACGACCTTAACAGACAGAATTAATTTTATAAGCCTGCGAAAAGTCATTTCTAAAACGACTTCTCGTTTGTTTAGCAAAACGATGAACATACTCACCACACTGCCCTCTTTTTTCTTGTCCACCAAACTACGAGTATATTCAGATCCCTGCACACAAACAAACAAAAACAACTTTAGAAGATGTGAACATCCAGGAAAAATAATTCACAAGTGATTTTTTTTTTAAATCACACTTTTAAAGGGTCCAACAGTTCTTCAATCTGTTTCTCTCTTTTTGTGATTTCTTCCTCCAGGCTCCTCAGTCTGGCTTTCAGCTGTTGGTTGTCAGATTTCTGAGCGTGGAGACTCTGACAAGAGATTAAACAAGAATTATCCATCCAGATAAATTAGAAGAGAATGCTTCACGTGCCAACTCTGCACAAACTAAAAAAACTGCCTTTTTTGCAGAAAAGCACAGTTTGGTATGAACGCTTCTTAAACAATAAGTTTCATCTCTCCTGCAGAACAAAAGTCTCAACTTGGTGTAACCAAAAACACCTTCTTAACCCGCAAACAATTCCTTAAGTGTGAGCTTTAAAACAAAATGTATGTGTTCCTCTTTACCTTCTTGAGGCGAATAATCTCGTCATACATGTCCTCCTTCTCCATGCGCTCACCTGCACCGACTGTAAAACCTGTAACGCACAGGAACAACACAAAGACGAAGTGTAGCAGCAAAGTTACTCACACTTATGATGAAAACTTGTACTAACTCTCAACAAATGGTTCATGGACACAAACTCTGACCCCAACCTTCATGTTATCTCACCGTTGGATGCAAAGAGAAGAGGTCTGTGTGTCCTCATGCTCACTTTCTGCTTCAGAAGCTGTGGGCTGTCGTCAGTGTCTGAACCGAGTGTCTGAGGCACATCTGAAGAGTCAAAGAAAGAGACAAACATTAACAAACTCTGTGTAACTTTTTGTGTCGATGTTTATGAAGCATTCACACTATTGTGATCCATTTTTCTTGCGGACATTTTCAGCATCTTTCTCGTTCCACAATTTTTGTGCTATTTCAACAAATCATAAATCAAAACATTCAGCTCTTTCAGGACAATCCTTCTATGACTTTTGGTATTGGTGCAACTTTAGCTTTTTGAAATATTTAGCCTTTTCTGCCATTTTTTTCCTCATAGAAAATGAATTGAGCTCATTTTTATTTCATCCTTTAAATCTTTAGATGTGTTTACAACCTTTTACTGCTCCTCTCACATTTTGTTCTTCTTCAGCTTCTTTCAACTTCCTTGTGCAAATTTAAACATTTCTTTCTGCTACTTTCAGATAATTTCAGCTGTTTTTTTAATTTTAGTGCTCCTTTCAGATTCTTTCTGCTAACTATATTTTTGTGCTTCTTCTAACTTATTTCTGCTTATTTCAGCATTTTCTGCTTTTTCAGCTACTATTTAGCTGTTTATGCTAATTTTAGCTTTTTTATTTAGCTAATTCCACCTTTTTTGCACTTATTTCAATTTTTTTTCAAGCCTAATTAAAAATAAAACATGCTCTCTCTACTTCCTTCTGGTAATTTAAGCTTATTTCTGCTTATTTCAGCATTTTCTGCTACTATTTAGCTGCTTATGCTAATTTTAGCTTTTTTATTTAGCTAATTCCACCTTTTTTGCACTTATTTCAAATGTTTTCAAGCCTAATTCAGCAAAATGTGCTTTCTCTACTTCCTTCTGGTAATTTAAGCTTATTTCTGCTTATTAGCTACTTTTCAGGTGGGTTTTTTTTTGTACTAATTTCAGCTTTTTCCAGCTTATCTCCACTTTTTTGTGCTCATTTCTGCTTCTTTCAGCCTAACTGGAAAAATTGTGAACTTCCTTCTACTAATTTAAACTAGTTAACTTTTTAGCATTGCTTAGCTAATTTCAGCTGTTCTCAGATAAATTCAAGTTTTTGTGGAAATTTCTGCGACTTCCAGCCTAATTAACTTTTTTCTACTAATTTCAGCTTGTTAAGCTCCTTTCAGCTTTTTTCTACTAGTTTCAACTTTTTCTGCTAGTTCAGCTACTATATGGCTGTTTTTGTGCTAAATTTAGCTTTTTCAGCTAATTCCACATTTTAAGCTCATTTCAGCTCCTTCCACTTCCTTCTTGTAGCTTAAGCTTCTTTCTGTCTTTTCAGCTACTTTTCAGCTATGTTTAGCTTTATTTTTAGCAAATGTCCTCATTTTTGTGCTAATCTCTGTTTACTTAAACCTAATTCAGCAAATGTGTGTTCTTTCTGCTTTCTTCTGCCAACTTAGGCTTGTTCTTCCATTTCAGCATGTTTTTAGCTAATTTCAGCTGTTTCTCAGCAAGTTCTTCTGCAATAAGCATTCACACTGCATTTCCGCAGGACAAGTAATTTCTCTAGTTATAATTATCATGTTTTTCTGTTTAAATGATTACTGTATTTGACATAGTTGCTATTTAAAAGTATTGCGTCTCAGCGCTTGAGTGTTTTTAAGCATAAAAAGTTGTATTGAAATATTCTACATGCCTCAAGAGAACACCGACTAACTATTTTAAGATGTTTTTCAAAAGCATCAAAGCAGGTAATGTCTAATGTATGTGGTGTAAATGCATGAAGACGTGATGAAGTCATGAAGCAACAGAAATTCTGAGAATCTAAAAACTTTTAAAGCCAGTTTCAGCTTTCTGTTTTAGTTGTACTGCTGCCAATGATGAGGAAAAGGCTTGTGGAAGGCAGTATAACCTGAGAGGAGAATTCTAGTCCTTGTTCTATTTTCCCAGAAGCAGACAGTTGTTCTCAAAAAAAATCTCCCTCATGAGGACTGACACTTTCTGTGAAGTTTTTTGTTGTTTCACAGAGCGTACCATGACCGTTGCTGAGAGATGTGAGGCGAGCTGAGCAACTCTCCCCTGATTTGTCCCCTCTGGTGTCCCCCAAGGAGGCCCTTTGCCGTCTCCACGCACCCACGGCTGCTCTCGTGGAGTTCAAGTTCAAACTGCAGAGGTATGGAGACCCTACAGAGTCACAAACAAACGTAAAGTTTGTAGAGTGTGTACTGTTACAAATATTACCAACATATCAGCTCAGCAGGTCTTACTCGGAGAAGGGGGAGGCTTCCCTGAGGAACTTTTTCTCCTTGTCCTCTGACAGATATGAGGCGTTGAAACAGAGGAAATGTGCGTTCATTAAACTCAAACCGTATGTTTAAAACAGAACTTTGGACAAAACTGAAAAACACAGGGAAGGAAAACTTGTTTTAGTTTTACCTTTTCTAAAGTGATTTCAGCAGGGAGAGAAAACTCATCGTCAACCTAGGAGGGGAAAAAAAAGGATAACGTAAAATAAAAACTATTTGGATAAGGAAAAAATTAAATCAACAAATATACGAACAAAAATAGACTGAATAGAACTGTGTTTTAATATGTTCATAGACGTAATGTTATTTGCTTTGATTTTTGTTAAATGAGTTTTTTCCTCCTTTTTCTTATACAACAAGAGGGGGGTGTTAAATCCATGCCATGACCAGACACAGAATGATGGTTAATACTCTGAGTGACAGGTTTAACACAGATAACTCAAGAAACTAAGCTTTAAGTTTCTTTCTGTCATAAACAAGAATATATAATATAACACAGATGTTATTGATGCAACTAAAAACAGCTAAAGACTCACCAGCTCTTCATCTGTTTGGACATCACTCGTCTCCAAAGACATTTTAGTAGTTGCACTGAACATAGCTGATAATTAAACGCTATGTAAAAATAAAAAAGTTGACTTTTGCTTTGTGTGAGCTTTCCATTTTTCCTCCAGTCAAAAGGCTGTCCTCAGCTCGCCCCTCTTCAGAGGCTCTTTATAAAAAAACAAGGGGCTCCGAGAGACGTTAGCTAAGCTACAACTTGATTGTTTTTCGTCAAGAAAGCTACAAGTCTTCTTCCCGGGTAAATGAGTAGTTTAAGCGACCATAAAGGCCGTTAGCCAATGCTTCCTTACATGAGTTTCCGTCCTTCCTATGTTGTGTTTTCACGTCGATGTGTGAGAGTCGTCTAGCAACCAGGCAGCTGTGTTAAGCTAAAAAAAAAGAGCGGAACCGGTGTTGCACCTAAATACGTACACCCGTCGAAAGCGGGAACATCCGGAAAAAATGAAGGCACGTTGAGAATGATAGAAGCATTTAACTTGATGCGACTCACAAGCTCAACATTAAAATGACATTCACAACGCAACAACAGTTATTTAATAAATAAAAACCTCTTAAAGTTTACTCGGTTGACGTCTACCCTTAGTGATTTAGCGGCAGTTTTTCTCCCTTCTTGTGCGCGCGCTCCCGAGACGGGAGGCACAAATGCCTTTGGTGTTACTTATCTTGGCGCAACACCTACATTTATGCTATTGCGTCTTCAAAATAAAACCAGTACAAGATCACAAAAGCCGTTTGAAGGCAGAAAAAAAGCTTACCTATTGAATGATTTTTTTAAATAAATTTTAAATGAACTGCTCAGTAAAAAAATGTGTGTGTGTGTGTGGGGGGGTCATTATCTTTTAAATCTGCGATGGCACAGTTAGGCAATTGCCTTATTTTGAAAGTTTTAAACGGAAGTTACTTTTCTGCTTCATTTAACTTGATAGTGTTGAAATTAAATCACAGTACAGTACTGTAACCCCCAGTCTACACACGAACTGCTTCGTTTCCTTTTTTTTTTCTGGACAGGGTTAGAGTTAAATGGAGGGTCTTAAACAAACCAAGAGATATGAAAAAGGAGCTTATTTATCTTTTTTATTTATCCTCCAGAACAGGACAGCTTAGCCCAGGGCTGTCAAAGGTCACAGAACTGAACTAGAAGATCATTGTCCTTATCTTTGGCATTTGCAACATCTGAAAGGAAGAAGGATGTAGGACCTAACCAGAAAACTCAAAAATCCTATTAATTTAGCTTCTTTTAATTCTAATATTACAGTATTGACCTGCTGTGAACTCTGTCTCCATTAACATTTCTTAATAATCTTGTAACTTTGTTGATTTCTATGTCACATATACTCCTTTTGAGTTTATCCAAGCCGTCCTCTATACTGGGGTCCCTGGAATCACTCTCTTCATTTTATTTTCTCCAACAATCTTACATTCTTTACAAATATTTTTAATATACATGACTATTTATAGTGATACAGTTATCACTATATTTTCATCTCTAAGAATTTTTTGCAAAGTGTAACCTCTATCTTTTCTCTTGATACCACTATAACAGGCCTGTTTCCATCTTCTTTCTTGAATTAAAAAAAAAAAATTGAACTCTTTTCCCACTACTGTTTTACAAACAATAGCACTTTCCTCATCTGAACTAATTTACTCTAGCTTCACTGAATTTACAACCAAACTTTTCTGCTTTTCTTCCCAATCTTTGTCCATTCGCCTGAGAGCATTCATTAATCTCCATGTCTTCATCATCATCTACCTGAGTTGCCATTCCATTCCAGACCAAACCAGTTTATTCTTCACTGCCAAAATCAATTTGTTGTGTTCTTTTCTTTTCAACAATGTTTTTCTTGTTCTCTCCCAGGACCCTCTTTCTTCTAACCCAGCTCTCCTTACTTCTGTGAGCAGTTTACGTTTTTCCCTACGCCTTGACTTACAGGTTCAACTTGGCCACACCCATCTGTTCATCGATTGGATTGTTAAATTTGTGATTGACATGACATTGACCAATCAGCTGAGAGGAAGAAAAATCCTTGCAAACCGCAGATTTTTACACATAGATGTTTGCTTCGTATCTGTAAACAACAACAAAAATTGTAACTTGTGTAACGTAGTTTACAAACCCAAATCTTTTTTACATACACACATTCCTATCTAAACAGTCACAAAGCAGAAATTTGCAGCTGTTTTATTTTACAAGGCTACAAGATGTATAAAACTTAATTCACAACTACACCGTCTGATTTACAAGCACAAAATATATATGATTGGAATTTGTGCCCAAATATTCATACAACTTTTGATTCAAACATAAGTGCCAACACACACAGAAAAATCCATGAACAAAAGCCTAGTGCAATAATTGACAGAGTCTAGATATCTTGCCACCATGTCTAAAAGTGCAAGACTTGCATTCTCCTCTCTACATCTTGGTTTAGGCAAACTGTAATAGATCCAGTCTGTCAGCGACCATGTCAGCCAGGTGTTACACCACTCTTACCATACATTTGCTCAAAGCTGATGTTAATGCTACTAGGCTGTATTCCTTTAAGTCTTTAGATAAGATAAGATAAGATAAGATAAGATAAGATAAGATAAGATAAGATAAGATAAGATAAGATGATAGAGCTTTATTGATCCCTTAGGAAATTGTTGTGCCAGAGTTTCCGTACAAAGGAACATACACAAGAATCACAAGATATTAAAAATTAACAGAAAATGTAAAAAAAATAGAGTATAGAATTACCAACAATTACGTTCTAAAACCAGTCAGGTGCAGACAGAAACATTAATTTATTGTGGTGCATGACTAATTTTATTGTTGAAAGGGGAGGAGTTGAAAAGTTTGATAGCCACAGGGAGGAAGGACTTCCTGAGTTGTTCTGTGGAGCACCTTGGTGGTCTCAGTCTACGACTGAAGGTGCTGCGGTAAGAGTCCAGGGTGTCCTGCAGGGGATGTGACATGTTCAGTATCTGGAGCAGTTTCCTCAGCGTCCTCTGCTCAGACACCTCTGTCAGAGACTGCAGGTCCACTCCTAGAACTGAGCCAGCTCTCTTCATGAGTTTATCGAGTCTGCTGGCATCATCTTTCTTCACCCGGCTGCCCCATGTGTTAGGAGTGCGCGGGGAACCCAGATGATATGAGACCCAGAACGAGGCAGACACAGGGGAAATACAAAAGAACAGTGTTTATTATTTACAGTGAGTTAAATGACATCCACAGGCTGCTTCTCTGAGGCTCCTGGAAAGAGGGACGACAGGTTATTAGCTGTCCAACGGGGAAGGCCAAAGTTGTTTGATTAATGAGCGTTTGTCCTTACAGTCCAACCCGAAGGGAAGAGATGGTCCTTCAGTCCAAGGAGAACGAGCAGCAGAGGGAAATCCAACGAGAGTCCAAAAAGGGGAACGAGGAAGGCTGGCACTGGAGGCAAAGAGGCACGAGGAATACCTGAGAGGCCAAGGGATCCAAATCAGGTCACGAGGGAATCCAAAGAGCATGAGGAACCAGGAAACTGGAAAAAAGAGCAAAAGGTGAACAAATTCTTTTCACCAAGACATTTGCCTCACAACAGTACAATACCATAAGAGGTGATATGCTCCAGCGTCGAGTCACACCGGACTGCAGCCTTAAGTAGATGGAGAGGCTCATCAGGCTGATGGCCGCCAGGTGTTGGTAATCAGCGGCCATCAGCAAGGCAGGCTGCAGGCAGTGGGACCCTTACACCATGAGTATGAATCTTCTGAGACTGGAATGTTGTAGGATACCCTCCATTGACTGGGGACATAACCAGAATCCAGTAGCCGCTGGACCAGTTTAGAGCAGGGCTATTCAACTAAATTACTCAGGGGGGGCATAGTTACTTAAAGCCCAGAGCTCAGGGGCTGCATATCCAGCAGTTACTGTCATTAAGTTTGTTTTACGGTTTAAAATCTAGTTTTATTAAAAAATGAACCCATTGGTGGGCCGAACTGAGCTCACCTGTGGGCCTGATTTGGCCCTCGGGCCACCAGTTGAATAACTCTTTATAGAGAGGCCCACCTAGCTGAGAGGAACACGTCTTCAGCACTCTGCTTCAGGACCAGGGGCCTCATGTGTGTTGATGGAGGATGGAAGGTACCAGCTCGTCATCAACCATACTGTCTTGGAGTGTTGGGAGTTTGATGGATCCAACTGGTTGGAGTGGAACTGCTGTTGAATCTTGTCAGGAATCTGTTCAGTTCTTCTGCACATGAAGGTGATGCAGGCTTAGGAACTCTCAAGGTAGGCAATTCCTTCACCTTCTGTGTATACCTTTAAGAATGGTTTTGTTTAACCAGGCATATTTTCCATGTCCTTATGACCCAAACCGTTTCTTTATCTTATTTTTCACGGCTGAAAATAAATAAATAAATGATCTGCTCTATTTCTACGCAGCTACTTTTTCATTCCTGCTTAACTTGAAATTAATCATGAGAGGAAGGTGTATCATAAACCCCTCATTACTCCAATTTTCTCCTAAAGACAAAAACATTGAGACAGAAGGAGGAATAAAACACAACTACAGAGAGCAGCTCTTTTCTAAAATGCAGGGAGAGACGGTGATTTAAAAAAAATAAAAAATCAGCATCTTAGAGTTTATAATGGAAGAACGTTTCAAGAAAAGTGTTTAACTGTGATTAATATCTGTGCTGTGTTTCTATAAAGTGTCCAGGTGGTGGGGATGTTGCTCGAGATGCAATTCAATAGATCAGTCAGAAATAATACAAAAATGTCAATTCAGTTAATGCACTTTATTGATATAGCTCCAAGTCACAACACAAGTCATCTCAGGGCACTGAACAGAAACATAAATGTTGGTAACTGCGATGGCAAAATGAGTCAGAATGAGCTCAGTACAAAATAAGTGAAAATGTTGACTCAAATTCAATGTAGAAATCTTAGATTTGGATTCCGTAGCAGGTTGCTTATTCCACAGACCAGCGGTTGTGCAGGAGGTACGGCCCAGACTAAATAAAGGATGGAGTTTATATACCTCTGAGGCTTGTTTCATGCAGATTTAGATCCACGAGCCAATCAGCCGCCTGCATTGTGCACAACTGACCAGACCCAAAACAGAAGATCTTCACTTGTTTGTCTATGGTTACATCCAATCTTCATATTTTCTTTATCAGCTCGGTCTAACCCAACTGCAGCTCCTGTCCTCTCATTTTCAAAGCACTGACGTAGCCACTCAGACATAATGGCTCAAAGTGATAAAAAAAGAGTTAAAAAAAAAAGGTAAAAACTTTGAAAACCTTCAGACAGTCTGAAGAAATGTTGCTCAACAACACTTTAATAGATTACAAAAATGTCTGTCTGCTTGGAAGCAAAGTACAACAAATGAGAGATTATTCAAATCTTTTGTGCAGGACTTTAGGACATTTTTGTGTCTGTAATGCCGTCAGTTCTTTTAACTATTCAGATGACGTCAAATTGCTTTTTCCACTGAATTCAACAAGCAGAAGGGCATCATTGAGTGAACAAAATGTAAAACCTCTAAACACCCACGTAATGTTATTATCTCTTTGGATTATTGACACATGAAAATGTCTCTCCATGCAAACTTATACAAATAAGCCTCCTGGGAACCATTCAGACCATTCCTGTTATTCCACTAACTAGCATAATATTAAAAAAGAGGTTCAAGTTGCTTTCAATTTTAAGTGGGAAATCAGTGCAAATTATTAGTATTTATTGTGGGGGTTTACTGAAAAAATGAAATATGCTTTTTTGCACAAATCAGCCCTGTTTTTCAGAGTAATCAACACTTTTTGGAGATGTTTACTCTCACACTGTTGCACAAACCTGAGAAAACAGTGAGTCTTTCAGAAAAGGCAGCTAGCACACACAATATCTAGAATGAGATGGTTCTCATGAAGCTTTAGCCTGGTCTGAATGACTTTCAGCCAGTGGCCCTCACCCCGATAGTCACTAAGTGCTTCAAAAAACTGGTCATGACTCACATCAAAACAACCATCAACATCAACGAGGACCCTCATCAGTATGCACACCGCGAGAATCGATCAACAGAGGATGCCGTCTCCTCTGTGGTCCACACTGTGCTCACCCACCTGGAGCAGAAGGACTTGTACGTCCATATGCTCTTTGTGGACTTCATGTCTGCCTTCAACACCATGATCCCCCAAACTCTAATGGACAAACTATTCACACTAGGACTAAGCCCCTCCATTTGCACTTGGGTACTAGACTTCTTAACAAACAGACCGCAGTCTGTGAGGATCCACAACTTCTCCTCCTCCACCATAACCCTCAGCACTGGCTCTCCTCAGGGATGTGTGTTGAGCCCCCTCCTGTTTACTCTGCTCACGTATGATTGTGCAGCTACCCATCCAGGCTGTCACATTGTAAAGTTTGCAGACGATACAGCCGTGGTGGGATGCATCACAAACAATGATGAGTCCAGCTACAGGCAAGAGGTGGAACACCTGGACAGCTGGTGCAAAGAGAATAACCTTCACATCAATGTGAAGAATACAAAGTAGATGATTGTGGACTTCAGAAGGAACAAACTCACCTACACCCTCCTGAACATAAGATGATCTGCGGTAGAAGTGGTCTCCAGCTACAAGTACTTGGGTGTGCACGACAACCTCAGCTGGAGCAACAACACCACCAGCCTGATCAAGAAAGCTCATCAGAGACTCTACTTCCTCAGACGGCTGAGGCGAGCTGGTCTGGGAAGCTCAGTCCTCACCTCCTTCTACAGGTGTGCAGTGGAGAGCATCCTCCAGCATCAACGTGTGGCATGGAGGCTGCACAGCTGCAGAAAGAAAAGCTTTGCAGAGAGTGGTGAAGGCTGCAGCAGCACGGTGGCACAACTGGTAGAGCTGCTGCCTCTCAGCGAGCAGGTCCTTGGTTCAAACCCCGGTCCAGGGGCCTTTCTGGGTGAAGTTTGTATGTTCTCTCCGTGCATGCGTGGGTTTTCTCCGGGTGCTCCGGTTTCCTCCCACAGTCCAAAAACATGCATGTTAGGCTGATTGGTAACTCTAAATTGTCCCTAGGTGTGAGTGAGAGAGTGAATGGTTGTTTGTCTCGTTTGTCTCTATGTGTCCCTGTGATGGACTTGCGACCCGTCCAGGGTGTACCCCGCCCCTCGCACAGTGATTGCTGGACATGGGCACCAGCGACCCCCGTGACCCAAAATGGAATAAGCTGGTAAAGAAAATGGATGGATGGATGGGTGAAGGCTGCACAGAAGTCTGATGGAGTCATCCTCCCCACATCACAGACATCTACACCTCCAGATGCAGGAAGACAGCTGCCTGCATCATGAAGGACCCCATTCACCCAGCACACACTTTTTGCCCCGTTCCCCTCAGGCAGGAGGTTGAGGAGCATTAAGTAGAACCACTAGACTGAGGAACAGCTTCTACCCTGAGGCTGTTAGACTCATGAATCTCTAACCAGAATAATCACTGTGAAAAATCACATCATGTTGCTGCTGATCTGTTTCATGTTGCTGCTGATCTGGTTCATGCTGATGTGTTCATTCGTGCTCATCTGCTCACACAGACTCATGTTCGTGCTGCTGTTCAGCATATTGTTTTTATGCTACTAGTGCTGAGTGTGTTTTTATTAACATTTTTCTTAGTTCATATCTTAGATCTTATTAGTTTTTCTTTTTGTTGGATGTAACTGGGACCCTGTGTACATATGACAAATAAAGAACATTGAATCCTTGTTATTTTTAGCCAGCATTTTGCTAAACTTTCTGCTTCTTTTAGCTATTTTACATCTGTTATTTGGTGTTTTGGTCATTTTAGCTTGCATTTTGATCCCTTCCTTTTGGCGTTTGCTTTCTTTTAGCTTTCTGTGTGTTTCAGCTCATCTGGCATGTTTTGACTGAGGTCAAATTGTCTGATGGATAAAGAAAAAGAAAAAAAAAACATTCTTTAAACTCCATTAAACTTTTCTTAAATTTGACTCTTGGTAACTTCATACAAAAAGGGAACTTTTATAGTTTTCCTGCTGGCACGAACACAGTTTCAAAGTTGGAGAATATGTGTTCAAGATGTGAACAGAGCTCAACTGAAGCAAGAGAGAGGAGAAAATAAAAATATATTTATTTATTTATTTCACTGTATTGCGGGGGGAGGGGGGGGTGTAGAGAGGCGTGTTCCGCCTTTGGAGAGGAAAAAAAAATCCATTCCTGCAGCTGGTGGAGCAGACTGGGTTTTTAGCCAAGGGATCTCCTCTTCATCATCATCATCATCATCTGTCAGAGGTGTCCTTTTGGTCTCCGAGTCCCGCATCTTCTCCCCCTCCATCATCATGTCTTCTCTCGGCGGGGACTTGCTGCAGATCCCTCTGGGGCTCATCAACAGCGCGGGCAAGTATCTGACCGCGGAGACGTTCGGCTTCAAGATCAACGCGTCCGCCAGCGGCCTGAAGAAGAAGCAGACCTGGACCCTGGAGCAGACCGGGGAGGACGGCAGCGTCGTGCACCTCGCCTCCCACCTGGGCCGCTACCTGGCCGCGGACAAAGACGGCAACGTCACCGCAGACAGCGAGGCGCGCGGCCGGGACTGCCGCTTCGTCCTCACCGCGCACGAGGACGGGCGGTGGTCGCTGCAGTCCGAGCCCCACGGCCGCTTCCTGGGCGGCAGCGAGGACCGGATCACCTGCTTCGCGCAGACCGCCTCCCCGGCGGAGAAGTGGTGCGTGCACCTGGCCGTGCACCCGCAGGTCAACATCTACAGCTTTGCGCGCAAACGCTTCGCCCACCTGAGCGCGCACGGAGAGGTGTCAATAAACCGGGACGTGCCCTGGGGGGTGGACTCGCTCGTGACGCTCGTGTACCGGGAGCAGCGGTACCACCTGGAGACCTCCGACAACCGCTTCCTGCGCAACGACGGCGGCCTGGCCGCCAAGCCGGACATGGACACCGGCTACATGCTGGAGTTCCTGTCCGGTAAGGTGGCGTTCCGCGACTGCCACGGCCGCTACCTGGCCCCCGTGGGTCCCACGGGAACAATGAAGTCTGGGAAGAGCAGCCGGGTGGGGAAGGATGAACTGTTCGGCCTGGAGCGCAGCCACGCGCAGGTCGTGCTCACTGCGGGCAACGAGAGGAACATCTCGACCAGGCAAGGTGAGGCTGATGGGGGGGGGGGGGGGGACAATGTCGCTTTCACCAAACTGGTGGAGTCACCACATAACTGGGCACAAAGCAGAGGCAGCTGCGCGTGTCAGGCAGAATTAGAGACTTCTAATTCATTTTCCTGGACCATGTGTTTTTCATTACACGCCCCCCCCCCCCCCCCCCCCAACCAATTCTCTTGGCCAGTGTGCAGAAACCCAACATTTTTCTGCAGCAGCTCCACCCCAGCACTGTGGCTGCTGCAGATCTGTGGTCAGATTCAGACCACTAATCATTTATATGTCATTCCTAATCTCAGATTAGAATGTGAACAGACAAACTGGGGAGAGGCTTGAGTTTTTTAGACAAAGAATAAAATGGAGGAGGTGCAGACTGAGAAGAGGGTGAGGTGTACAGGCTTGCTGAATGGGGACTTTTTCATTTTTTCTTGGTCCCTCAGCTGGTTTCTGCTGCCATGCACGCAGAAAATGTGTGCGTGCACATTTAAGAGGCAAATGATTGCAAAGAGAGGAGGGTAAGTATTCAGTTCAGTTTATTTACATATAGCGCCAGTTCACACCAGAAGTCGTCTCAGGGCACTGAACAGAAACATTCATATAAATCAGTTAATATTTATGAGGAGCCGGCAGATTACTTTGAGTTTTCACTTCGTTGCAGTCTCCATAAGAGAGCCAAAGAAAAAAATCCCTCATGAGGAAAAAAGCTCCAGCAGAACCAGGCTCAGGACAAGCAGCCATCTGCTTTAGAGTTGCATTTGGGCCTAAAAAAAATCCTAAACCCGTATCATTTTTTTCCGAGCCAGACCCAAAACCGACCAATTATCTGTGATTACAGGCCCGAACCTGGAAAAAAACCCTCAACATTAAAAAATAAAATAAAATTAAGCTTTTACTGCTTTTGTAAGCAAATCAGTTTGACAAGATTTTAAAACATATTTCAAAGAAAGGAAGATATAAGAATTCTTGTTTAATAACAAGTCATCATATTAACGGCTGACGATCCAAATTGGGTCGTCGGCCGCGTGCTGACACAGTGGCTGAGTCCAGGGGCTGAGTCCAGGGGCTGAGTCCAGCGGCTGAGTCCAGCGGCTGAGTCCAGCGGCTGAGTCAGCGGCTGGGTCCAGCGGCTGAGTCCAGGGGCTGGAGTCCAGCGGCTGAGTCCAGGGGCTGAGTCCAGCGGCTGGAGTCCAGGGGCTGGAGTCCAGTGGCTGGAGTCCAGGGGCTGGAGTCCAGCG